TATTATATACAAATAATTGTTCTAGTTCAGGATGTTTGTTAATTTGAAATATATACATATGTATGTAATATATATAAATTCCTTATGTATGTAAACTGCCTCCGCGGTACAGAAACAAATCCTAGTGTAGGCGTAATGTCTCTTTTAACTAAAAATAGAGGTATGAACGACACGGCTCAGCAGTATCACATCAGCAAAATAGCTTATGACGATGTAACTCTGGCCAGCTTTACAAGTGCTTAGCTACAAGTGCTAGCTTAGCTTTTAATTTAGCTTTACAATTGACAAAGTCACCTAACATGCCATCCGTGTTGAATTTTACACTCTTCTGAACTGGAAGGGATGTTCGAGGTCCACCCTCACTTTTCTATCTTAGCCATGTAGTAATGGAAGGGAGTCCACTAACCCATATCATTCCATGTATGTCTTATGAGGCGACAGAGGAAAATTGAAAGCAAAAGATCAGCAGGAGAAGCATCTTCCTGAACTAAATAATAATAATACTTCCGCCTGCCAAGCCTGTAAGTGCTGTGACCCTTTTTATGAGGATTTGACCTTTTTTCCTAGAAACAAGGCATTCCATATTAGTCCTCAGGGGTGACAACGCATCTGCATTTAGACTGTTAACTGAGGATAGATGTGGATGTCTACGGGCTACACAAACTACTTATTCTGTGGACTGTGTGCTCGTTTGTCACCCTTATTCTATGGGGAAGGCCTTTGTTTAGCAATGTAGAGAACAGGTTAGAGATTGCACTAAAACACCACACTGCAACAACATCTCCCTGATATCGACTCAAAATTATAAAATGCTGCGGTTGGCTGTTCAACAGTGGACTTGTTGTATTGTGTGATTAGTTGTAAGAAGAAAAAAACACAGGTCCCTCTATGAAACATTCTATGGGGAAGGCCTTTGTTTAGCAATGTAGAGAACAGGTTAGAGATTGCACTACAACACCACACTACAAAAACATCTCCCTGATATCGACTCAAAATTATAAAATGCTGCGGTTGGCTGTTCAACAGTGGACTTGTGTATTGTGTGATTAGTTGTAAGAAGAAAAAAACACAGGTCCCTCTATGAAACATTCTACGGGGAAGGCCTTTGTTTAGCAATGTAGAGAACAGGTTAGAGATTGCACTACAACACCACACTACAAAAACATCTCCCTGATATCGACTCAAAATTATAAAATGATGCTGTTGGCTGTTCAACAGTGGACTTGTTGTGTTGTGTGTTTAGTTGTAAGAAGAAAAAAAACTCCTGTTACGTCCAACTAGTGTTAGCTATTAACTTTAACTAAATGCGGTTTATAAAAGAATACCTAGAGTTAACTCTTAAACTAAGCGCGGTTTATAAAAGAACAGCACAAAAATCTCTTTCAATAAATTCGACTATGTACTATAATTTACATTGTTATAATACCATTAATAATAGACCAAACAGTAGTAACAATGGCGATTATTACAATATTTCCTTTAAACATATTATTACTAAACCTATTATAGGACGAAAGTGAAAGAAACGCTTTATTTTGGCACAAACTATTTACATACACAACAATATTATGCTAATTTATAAATAATAAAAATACGTAAGTACTTGAAAGCAAACGTGTGATTAAACAAAGCATATTTTTAATTTTAAGCATATTATATTTTTGTTATTTGCACAGTTGGTAGTTTTTATTAAAGCGTTCGAACTGTTTACCGGATAAATACCTTTTTTGTTATCTTTGGGACTTCCAAACAAAGCGCAATATATGGGTGTGATTTCGCGCAATGGGGTACTTCTTTAGGCCGATTTTTAAATCGTCAGGGTAAAGTTATCCGTGAAATAAATTATAACCTGATTTTGTACATAAAAGTGAAATAATTAAACTATTTTATTCATACGGTTGTCATTTTAATTTGTTTATATTATATTTTATCTTACCAATAATTTTTATCTGATAATTGAAAAATGATTCTTAAGTGTCTGATAAATTGATTGGTTTTTGTCAAAGTTTACTAAATTTATCTAAATTATTTTTTACGAATTTTGTCGCAAATAATTTACTTATTTTCATATTAAATAAAAACAATGTTATAGTTTACCAGATAGTATGCTCGCTTGACGTTTAACCAGCTTACTAATTATGATAATATAGCATTAACACTTCACATATTTTAATAATTACCATTTAAGTCTAAAAATCAACAAAGTATCGTCAGCAAAAATAAATTATTATAGTTATTCCTTATCAAGTAAAGTAAGTCATAAATATGAACTAAGAACAGGAAGTGGCCAAGAATTGAACCTTTTTTTTTTTTGCGGATGGAAAATCATCTAATGACGCCTTTCGCTCTGGGTGGAGCGTAAGGGAGTGTCAGACTTTTACTGACTAAAAACCGTCCGTGTTCCTTCAGTGCCCTTACGTTCCGGAGCCGCGGTATTTCTTTCGAACAGCCCGCAGCCCCGGCAGGCGTCGGCCCTTGCGGGCCCCTTCACGCTGCTGACAGCTCTTTGAGGCGCGCGTGGAACAAAACGCGCCGTCGACACGGCCTGTCGTCGTTAGACGGACGGACGGCGAGCTACCCATTGCTCGCCGTCCACAGGCCCGCGCCTACGGTGGCCGGGGGCCACGACGTAGCCCCCGACGCCCGGGGCGTCTCCCGCGGCGGCCGGGGGGGAAAGCTGCTGCTCTCTCCTTCTCCCGCTCCGCCACCTCCTTCGCTAGCATCACTGCTTCGCAGAAGGTGGTGACGGCATCCCATTCCGAAGAATTGAACCCTGAGGAACACCCATAACTACCTATAGAAGCGACCGCGGGGTCGCTTCTGAAGACTTAAATGAAATGCCTTACAGCGTGTAATTATTCTGGCTCTCTGTAGCTTTCATGCCGGTACAATTTACAATGAAATTACTGTTATAAGCGGCTTAAAGAGCTAAGAGTGTGGTATTTAACCCAGACGTACTACTAAGTAAAAAAGTAGTCATACATACATAAACATAAACACTCACGGTCGTCACCCAGAGGAGTAGGCAGAAACTACAGACTTCCATTTGGCACGACCCTGACACACCTCTCTCGCCTCCTCCACATTAATATACCTTTGCATACAGGGTACTCCGGATTTGGCTCTCATTTTCAATATGTCGCCAATTGGTCGATAAACTTTCGCCTAGGACGTGCCTTTCGGACTCTTCCATTCACTTCTGCAATATAAATTTGCTTTGTCACTCTTTCCTCATTCATTCTTTCTACATGACCAAATCACCGAGACATTCCTTTCTTAATCCTGGTCACAGCATCATCTTACAAACCACACTCTTCTTTTATCACACAACTTTTCACCCTGTCACAAATTCAGCCCTAACATACTCCTTAGCGACCGCATTTCTACTGCGTTTATTCTACTCTCGTGCGTGTCCTGCCACAACCACAGAAAATAAATTATTTAGATTTCTGTGGTCACACCCAAGTCTCACTACCATACGTTTAAATTAGGGACTAACACAGCATTGCGAATTGCCATACGTCCCTTTTTTGACACATTCTGACTTTACCTATTATCCTACCATCTATTACTAGTGATCAACGTAATGATATCATAGTTGATCCTGGCGACACTCAGCGTGAATAAAGTAAGAGAGAGAATGAAATGTTTAAATTGACACGTTTTAATTTACACGTGGTAGAGCCACACTGCAGCTATATTATGATTATTTTTATTGCGAAATAAGTGAAAACTCTACACTAATCGGTTTTGTTAACATCTCGATAAGCGCTTTTTATTAAAAATTTTAAAACCACCTTGCATATTTTTAATTATAGCTGATTAACGAAAAAAAAATAATTTTGTAGTAGTTAATAAAAAGCTTTATGTGTACAAGAAAGTTTTATACGTGTAGCCATACTGCGGCTATATTATGCTTGTAGCACGAATGGGTGGGCTCGACCGGAGTAGGACCACGCTCTCGTAGATACCAGCGTAAAATAGCAGCTTAATGCCGCTGTGTATCGTATGGTGAGTGCAGAGAACCGGAGACCCTTTTTTAACTGGAAACGAAGCATTCCATCTTAGTCCTCAAGGGTACAACGCATCTGCGTTTTGATTCTTAATCGAGGATAAATTGTACATAGATGTCTATGGGCCACAGCATCCACTTACCATCAGGTGGACTGTGTGCTAGTTTGTCACTCTTATTCCATAAAAAACACGAGCATCAACTACCCTTTTCGTTAGTGAACTAACCTTGTTAACCGACGCGGTTAGCTCGGTTTTTATCCCTAATATTATCATAAAAGTCAACTCTACCGAGTTACCAACATTAATCAACGGATCTGTGAGCTGAAGTGGCAATTTACCGGCTATATAGGTCAACGAACCGACAACCTATGGGAAAAAAAGGTTCTACAGGCAGCTTTGTACCGGCAAAATGAATGTAGGATGGCCCTCTATAAGACGGAGTGTTATCAAATGCAAGAACTCAATATGGGTGTCTCAGATACCTACTTTGTGGCATTACTTGGGGTAGGCCTACGTTTGCCGGATTTCAATTGAAAACAATAGTGTCGTGCGCCAATTTTAAAAGATTTTGGAATTCTATGCGAAAATGTAACAATGTAATTTTAAGAAATCAAGATTTAAACTCTATGGAAAAGTGTAAATTCTCTCCATAGCGAGGTGTTCAGCCACCGTGAGCGCGCTGTAAGAAATGCGTGTGTTTTACGAAACTTTTATATGTGGTCCTGGTAAAAGATATTTTAAATAATGCACCCCGTTTTTAGCTTATGGAATTTGGATTTATTACTTTCTTGTGTTCTAGTAAGTTTACGAGTCTCTTTCACTAAGCAGGGTGTACCACGTACAGTTGAGGATGACATTTCAGAGAAGTTAAAAGCCTATTAATAAGCATACTCTCTAAGTTTGTATTATTGAAAACTAGTTCCTAAGCATAATAAGAAAAAAAAATTAAAGTATTTTTTTTATCAACTAATGTATTTTTGTTCCAGATGAGAACGGTAGTCCAGACACCGCTTTCAATATGGCGTCGATAAACTCAAATGGCGATTTGAAAAGTCTAGGTGATCCTCCAGACAAGACGGTCGCAGAAGCTGATGCTGAGAAGCAACCACTGTCAGGAGTAAGTAATTTCATTCTCAGTAGTTATTGTATATTTATATTTACGACTTGCTGTTTTCTGCGAGGTGATTTGAAAAGTCTAGGTGATCCTCCAGACAAGACGGTCGCAGAAGCTGATGCTGAGAAGCAACCACTGTCAGGAGTAAGTAATTTTATTCTCAGTAGTTATTGTATATTTATATTTACGACTTGCTGTTTTCTGCGAGGTGATTTGAAAAGTCTAGGTGGCCTTTCAGACAAGACGGTCACAGAAGCTGTTGCTTAGAAGCAACCACTGTCAGGAGTAAGTAATTTTATTCTCAGTAGTTATTGTATATTTATATTTACGACTTGCTGTTTTCTGCGAGGTGATTTGAAAAGTCTAGGTGGCCTTTCAGACAAGACGGTCGCAGAAGCTGTTGCTTAGAAGCAACCACTGTCAGGAGTAAGTAATTTTATTCTCAGTAGTTATTGTATATTTATATTTACGACTTGCTGTTTTCTGCGAGGTGATTTGAAAAGTCTAGGTGGCCTTTCAGACAAGACGGTCGCAGAAGCTGTTGCTTAGAAGCAACCAATGTCAGGAATAAGTAATTTTATTCTCAGTAGTTATTGTATATTTATATTTACGACTTGCTGTTTCCTGCGAGGTGATTTGAAAAATCTAGGTGGCCCTTCAGACAAGGTCGCAGAAGCTGTTGCTTAGAAGCAACCACTGTCAGGAGTAAGTAATTTTATTCTCAGTAGTTATTGTATATTTATATTTACGACTTGCTGTTTTCTGCGAGGTGATTTGAAAAGTCTAGGTGGCCTTTCAGACAAGACGGTCGCAGAAGCTGTTGCTTAGAAGCAACCACTGTCAGGAGTAAGTAATTTTATTCTCAGTAGTTATTGTATATTTATATTTACGACTTGCTGTTTCCTGCGATGTGATTTGAAAAGTCTAGGTGGCCTTTCAGACAAGACGGTCGCAGAAGCTGTTGCTTAGAAGCAACCACTGTCAGGGGTAAGTAATTTTATTCTCAGTAGTTATTGTATATTTATATTTACGACTTGCTGTTTTCTGCGAGGTGATTTGAAAAGTCTAGGTGATCCTCCAGACAAGACGGTCGCAGAAGCTGATGCTGAGAAGCAACCACTGTCAGGAGTAAGTAATTTCATTCTCAGTAGTTATTGTATATTTATATTTACGACTTGCTGTTTTCTGCGAGGTGATTTGAAAAGTCTAGGTGGCCTTTCAGACAAGACGGTCGCAGAAGCTGTTGCTTAGAAGCAACCACTGTCAGGAGTAAGTAATTTTATTCTCAGTAGTTATTGTATATTTATATTTACGACTTGCTGTTTCCTGCGAGGTGATTTGAAAAGTCTAGGTGGCCTTTCAGACAAGACGGTCGCAGAAGCTGTTGCTTAGAAGCAACCACTGTCAGGGGTAAGTAATTTTATTCTCAGTAGTTATTGTATATTTATATTTACGACTTGCTGTTTTCTGCGAGGTGATTTGAAAAGTCTAGGTGGCCTTTCAGACAAGACGGTCGCAGAAGCTGATGCTGAGAAGCAACCACTGTCAGGAGTAAGTAATTTTATTCTCAGTAGTTATTGTATATTTATATTTACGACTTGCTGTTTTCTGCGAGGTGATTTGAAAAGTCTAGGTGGCCTTTCAGACAAGACGGTCGCAGAAGCTGTTGCTTAGAAGCAACCACTGTCAGGAGTAAGTAATTTTATTCTCAGTAGTTATTGTATATTTATATTTGCGACTTGCTGTTTCCTGCGAGGTGATTTGAAAAATCTAGGTGGCCTTTCAGACAAGACGGTCGCAGAAGCTGTTGCTTAGAAGCAACCACTGTCGGGAGTAAGTAATTTCATTCTCAGTAGTTATTGTATATTTATATTTACGACTTGCTGTTTTCTGCGAGGTGATTTGAAAAGTCTAGGTGGCCTTTCAGACAAGACGGTCGCAGAAGCTGTTGCTTAGAAGCAACCACTGTCAGGAGTAAGTAATTTTATTCTCAGTAGTTATTGTATATTTATATTTACGACTTGCTGTTTCCTGCGAGGTGATTTGAAAAGTCTAGGTGGCCTTTCAGACAAGACGGTCGCAGAAGCTGTTGCTTAGAAGCAACCACTGTCAGGGGTAAGTAATTTTATTCTCAGTAGTTATTGTATATTTATATTTACGACTTGCTGTTTTCTGCGAGGTGATTTGAAAAGTCTAGGTGGCCTTTCAGACAAGACGGTCGCAGAAGCTGTTGCTTAGAAGCAACCACTGTCAGGAGTAAGTAATTTTATTCTCAGTAGTTATTGTATATTTATATTTACGACTTGCTGTTTCCTGCGAGGTGATTTGAAAAGTCTAGGTGGCCTTTCAGACAAGACGGTCGCAGAAGCTGTTGCTTAGAAGCAACCACTGTCAGGGGTAAGTAATTTTATTCTCAGTAGTTATTGTATATTTATATTTACGACTTGCTGTTTTCTGCGAGGTGATTTGAAAAGTCTAGGTGGCCTTTCAGACAAGACGGTCGCAGAAGCTGATGCTGAGAAGCAACCACTGTCAGGAGTAAGTAATTTTATTCTCAGTAGTTATTGTATATTTATATTTACGACTTGCTGTTTTCTGCGAGGTGATTTGAAAAGTCTAGGTGGCCTTTCAGACAAGACGGTCGCAGAAGCTGTTGCTTAGAAGCAACCACTGTCAGGAGTAAGTAATTTTATTCTCAGTAGTTATTGTATATTTATATTTGCGACTTGCTGTTTCCTGCGAGGTGATTTGAAAAATCTAGGTGGCCTTTCAGACAAGACGGTCGCAGAAGCTGTTGCTTAGAAGCAACCACTGTCGGGAGTAAGTAATTTCATTCTCAGTAGTTATTGTATATTTATATTTACGACTTGCTGTTTTCTGCGAGGTGATTTGAAAAGTCTAGGTGGCCTTTCAGACAAGACGGTCGCAGAAGCTGTTGCTTAGAAGCAACCACTGTCAGGAGTAAGTAATTTTATTCTCAGTAGTTATTGTATATTTATATTTACGACTTGCTGTTTCCTGCGAGGTGATTTGAAAAGTCTAGGTGGCCTTTCAGACAAGACGGTCGCAGAAGCTGTTGCTTAGAAGCAACCACTGTCAGGAGTAAGTAATTTTATTCTCAGTAGTTATTGTATATTTATATTTGCGACTTGCTGTTTCCTGCGAGGTGATTTGAAAAATCTAGGTGGCCTTTCAGACAAGACGGTCGCAGAAGCTGTTGCTTAGAAGCAACCACTGTCGGGAGTAAGTAATTTCATTCTCAGTAGTTATTGTATATTTATATTTACGACTTGCTGTTTTCTGCGAGGTGATTTGAAAAGTCTAGGTGGCCTTTCAGACAAGACGGTCGCAGAAGCTGTTGCTTAGAAGCAACCACTGTCAGGAGTAAGTAATTTTATTCTCAGTAGTTATTGTATATTTATATTTACGACTTGCTGTTTCCTGCGAGGTGATTTGAAAAGTCTAGGTGGCCTTTCAGACAAGACGGTCGCAGAAGCTGTTGCTTAGAAGCAACCACTGTCAGGGGTAAGTAATTTTACTCTCAGTAGTTATTGTATATTTATATTTACGACTTGCTGTTTTCTGCGAGGTGATTTGAAAAGTCTAGGTGGCCTTTCAGACAAGACGGTCGCAGAAGCTGTTGCTTAGAAGCAACCACTGTCAGGAGTAAGTAATTTTATTCTCAGTAGTTATTGTATATTTATATTTACGACTTGCTGTTTTCTGCGAGGTGATTTGAAAAGTCTAGGTGGCCTTTCAGACAAGACGGTCACAGAAGCTGTTGCTTAGAAGCAACCACTGTCAGGAGTAAGTAATTTTATTCTCAGTAGTTATTGTATATTTATATTTACGACTTGCTGTTTTCTGCGAGGTGATTTGAAAAGTCTAGGTGGCCTTTCAGACAAGACGGTCGCAGAAGCTGTTGCTTAGAAGCAACCACTGTCAGGAGTAAGTAATTTTATTCTCAGTAGTTATTGTATATTTATATTTACGACTTGCTGTTTTCTGCGAGGTGATTTGAAAAGTCTAGGTGGCCTTTCAGACAAGACGGTCGCAGAAGCTGTTGCTTAGAAGCAACCACTGTCAGGAGTATGTATTTTATACTCAGTAGTTATTATATACAATATGTAACGTAATTAACGCACACCCTCAGACACCCCAATTAGTATATTATGTACCATAATACATACACTGAATTTTTAGTTAAACATTTTTATGCACTGATTATTTATCAAATTAGTTATACTAATTCCGGAAGAATGTTGTGATCACAGTACAAATCCACGAACGCAAAGACTTTAACGGGCTTGAAATAAAGTTAATATTTCTTTATTTTTATTGAATGACAGAGTTAGTAATAATACAAATAAAACTGCACTCTTAAAAGTCTTATTGCCTTAAGTTACGGTCCATTTCAGTTTGTTTTGACTGTACAGATTTAGTGTGACTGTAATTTATGTAGTTTTAATTATTTTTGGGATAAAAAATTACCTATATTAAAAATGATAGGAATCGATTCAGTAAACAATTCTGAACAAACTACTTTCTCAAAGTGCGTTAATTATGTTACATGTTATATATGTATGTATATATTTTTATGAATTGCGGTTTTCCGCGACTTCGCTTGCGTATAATTTAGTACTTATGTTTTTCTGAAATAAAAGTAGCCTAAGTTACTCCTTGTCACATCAGCTATCTGCCAGTCCCGTCAAAATTTGTCCTGCCGTTTCGGAGATTAGCCGGAACAAACAGACAGACAGACCGACAAAAAATTTAAAAATTGAGTTTTTGTTATATACATTTAGTAAAAAGCTGTTATTTTGTCATAACAAACAGACACTTCGATTTTATTTATTTATATAGACTACAGTTGCCAATTCGGCTGCCAAGCGTGAAAAGGAATATAAAGATTTAAAATATATAGGTTAAAAACGTTACCTCCGAACTAGGATTTTCTCCTGTATCGTGGGGGGCAGTTTACAAACATACATTTCACAAGGACAAACATCCAGACCCGGAACAAATACTTGTAGGCCATACAAATACTTGTTCCGAGCGGGATTCGAACCCGCGGCCCTTAGCGCTGTAACTCATTGATAAGCCATTGCGCTACGGAACCGTCAGCGTGTCATCAATAACTACTA